AACAACTTTTATATTATCTCTATATACTTACCTAATAATGCTAATATGAACAAATAAACACAAAACCAAATTATTCTTTGGATTACACAAGCACAACTACTCAATATTATTTTAGTAATTATGGGAGACTTTAACCAAGACCTTAATAGGACACAGCATTCTACTGTATACAAATATCTTATATTATATAACTTTACTCCACTAATATATACTTATTATTCACAAACTCCTACCTAGCAACATAACCAGCTTTCTAGTTAAATTAATGAAATCTGAGTTCTACAACAAATTTTACACATATTCACAATACCTACTATTACCCATACAATTGGCATTATTGACAGTGATCATCACATCATCTGCACTAACCTTTAAATATACACTAAACCAACCAAATGACATAAAAAATACAAATACAGGCATACAAATATGATACTATGACAAATGAACTTTGGGAACAGTTTCAACAAACAAGTTACCAACTATCATCTTCAACTACAGAAACAATAGCTTCTACACTAACAGTTAATCAACTTCAGTACCAGATCCAACATGCAGTACTTACTGCAGCCAACACACATATACTCTTTACCTTTCATTTACAAAAACAATTTCAAAACTTCTTACCTACTGCCTTAAAAACTTATACAGCACTAAACACCTGTGGCAGCATACTTTGTACTCTTGTCAACCTTCACACTGATATTAATAATAATAATAATAAAACAAATGCTATATAACTAAATAATTTAAACCAAAAAATACAAACAATTTAATTACTTACTAACATATCTATTACACCTCTTACTCTATTGGACATCAATAATAGCCAACTTTCCAACACTATTAATACAATAAAAGAGCATCATAAAACATTATACCATACTTGGGAAAGTGAAAACAAACACACGCTATCTTAACACATTACTCAACAGGTTGAAAAATGCTACAGCAACTTCACATCAAATACCATGGTAATGATCAGCAGCATACTCAACAGACATACCGATACTGTATTATTTGACAATATAAAACTCTCCAACTCTATAATAACTAAACCACAAAAGATCTATCAACATATCAAAGATCATTTCACAAACTGGACTAAACACAATCTATACAACCCAACTTTTTAGGAACAATGGAAAAATGAATACAATTCCAAAACAAATATACTCCCAACATGGTATAACATATTAACAGATTCAATAACTCAACAAGAAATAATCAATACAATAAATGCTTCACCTAACAGCAAAGCATCTGGATCTACACTTATTTCTAATGAAATGCTTAAGCATACTCACCCTCATATTACTAAACACTTAATAATTCTATTTAACTTATACTTAAACATTGCAAACATCTCTACTGCTTGGAAACAAAGCAAAATATATCCTATATCAAAAAAACCAACCTTTACAGATCAACTCAATCATACCAAACCTATAACACTTCTTGAACATACTTAAAAAATCTTTACAAAAATCATTACTAACTGACTTAGTAAAATAATGTCTAAATATCCTATTTTAGATCCACACAACTTTGTTGCTCTGCCTTATTTCTCTACAACACAACCCATACAAATTTTTACCAATATACTACAAGAAGTACAAACACAAAACAAAGAAATATAGCTCTTGGCTCAGGACATGAGCAAGGCATATAACTCTGTACACATTCTACTCCTTCAACATGTCTTAACTCAACTAAAAATTCCTATTAATATACAACAACTCATAATTAACATATACAACAACCGATACAACTCAGTTATCACAAACTTTGGTCATACATCTAGTTATCATATGCAAGATGGCATAGACCAAGGAGAAACCATTACATCACTTATCTGGTGCATATACTATAATCCTCTAATAACTTATATTCATTCTAAATTTCAAGAATATAATATGTCAATAACACTTGTATCTAATATACAACACCTAACATATTATATATTAGTACTAGCCTACATGGATAATACACTATGGCTGGCTCCTAACAAACACACACTTCAACAAATTGTTAATACTGCTGAGTCCTTCTATAATATGGCCAACATCACAGTTAATCTTACTATATCAATTCTTGCAACAAACCAGACCAAGGATCCAAACCCAACAATTAACTTTGCCAATATTATCATACATACTATCTTGTTAAAAGATACTTTTTGCTATCTGGGCTGCTAGTTTATATTACTTAGTCATTACAAACATATACATAATCAGATTACTGCTAAGGTCACCAACTTTATTAGTACTATAAAAAACAAAAAGATCACAGAAAAACAAACAATCTATATTATCAATACTGTACTCATACCATGCTTTTTATACAGAACCTTAAACACATTTGTCTACCAATCTAACATTCAAAGTATTACTAACTCATATACACAAGTTGCAAAACACAAAGCTGAACTGGCCTCAATGATACCCAACTCTACCATATTTCATCACCAAATATACAACCTATGCAGCCTAACAGATATTTAAGCATAGAACCATATCTTTTCTTTTTATATACAACTAAACAATCCACTAACAGCACCATTAATCAAAATCTTATTACAACATCTTCAACAAGTAACACTTTTATCTAATAATATTGTATATTCTCCAAATTATATACTACTTACAAAGTTTTATAATACACTTATAGCCCAAACTATCAGAACTGCACACCAACTTGGAATCAATATCCAAAACCTTCCTAATCCCTGGCCAATACCAACTACATACAAAGGCACCTCCATTGATACATTAATTAAACACTGTACTAAACCAACACAAATCAAGTTACTAACCAACAAAGCAAACATCTTTGCTATTGAACAACTTACTAATCACACAAATACACAGCTTCTTTCATGGCAGTATATCATATACAAAACACAAAAAATACCAAGAGAAAGAATTCCTAAGTGGTTTCAGAAACTCCAACATACCTTTTATGCAACTACTACACTATACATTTCTACTATCACTCCTAATCCATTTATCACAAACTCTATAGCACTAAAGAAAAGTGCCTAGGTGCTTAGCAAAATTAAAAGCATACCAATTATAGGAAAAATACAAAAAACATCTAATACAAACAATACAATATATATCAAACATTATCGAATATCACCACCTGAACTACAGCACAAAGCACCATTTACTAAATGTTTTAATGCAAACATACCTGTGCTGCTAATACTAGCCAGCAATGCATAATCATACTTACTACATCCCAGTATATTGTGATTAAAGTATCTAGCTCCAAAGTCCTTTGAACAGATATAAATAACCTAATACAACATCATCATAAACTTAATACACAGTCTTCTTTATAGCTAAAAAAGAAAACCTCACCTCAACACTTATCTATTACCTTAGTTACTTACCAAAACTCACAACTACCTAATATCTCAACAACTCAAAACAATTTGCTATACTAAATATTCCTACTAAGCACTGCTATTACATGACTATCTCACCTCATAACAATTAACTCACAGGCCAAAAAACTCCAATTATATCTTCATGCAACTATAACTCAAGCAAATACACCACAGTTACAGGCTCAATTTACCTGAACCCTTATACCAACTAATATAACATTCTCATTCCAAATCACACATTGGCCTTCTACAACATGTGCATACCTTATTGGAATTATAACAATTCTAATGATAGCTTCACAGAATTGTCAAATAACAATTTACATGACTCACAAACTAACAATTAACTACATTAATTCTCTTCTTGCACCAACACCAAATTCTACACTTACCCTTCAAAAGTACAACTATTGGCTACTCAAACTACTACTACAGACTATAATTGCCCACAAAGGTACCAAAATTAAAGATATCTACATTGAAAACCCTGACAACCACCTTCTATATAATAGAACAACTCATCTGTTTACCAATATACAGCAATACAAACTGCATATTCAATCTCATGCACTTGACAATAACAATTTCTATCTTATCTGTAACAATACACTAATTGAAAACAAAATCCATCATTTCATTAGACACTTGCAAAATAAAACAAATGTAGCAAAATAGCATGCTCTCAACAAAACTAAACATTGGAATGATATTCATGAAGATACCAACTGGGACTCAACACACAAATTTCTTAACTATAACAACAAACCTAACACCCACACTACTCATCCCAAATACTTATGATTAAAAAGTTTCAAAATTAAATTTCTACTAGATAAGCTACCAACTCTATTAAACTTATATTATAGAAAATCTAAAATATATACCAATCCTACCTGCAATTGTTGCTCTATGCATATCGAAAACAACTTTTACTGGCTTGAATATATAGCAAATCCTATATCTTTAGATCAAGTAATTCAACAAACTACCTCTAAATTCTTTACTAAAAACAAAATAGAACTACAAAATATATAACCTTATTACAACAACTTTTTCAAACATTAAACAATACATATAATCTTCTTAGATTGCAAGGATTAATTCCAAACAACCCACCTGCAGCTTGCAATATTAATCTGAACATGCTTGTTATTCTATTTCATAAAATATCAAATAATATTTACAAACAAATATGGACAGAAAGATGCAAAGCTATGTATCAAAATGTCCTACTAACAAATACACTCACAATTATAACTCCAGAACACCTGACTACAGACCAAGTAGCCACAACATAATATGAAAAATAGACAACTATTTTTCTACTACTAACATATCTACATCTTACATTGCAACACTAAACCTAGAAGAGGTCTGACAGCCTGCTCTAGTAGAGTTTTGGGCTGAGGATAAATTAGTCCTAACTATAGGTCCATGTAATAATTTATGTAACTCATTTTTATTAATGTAATACCAAATTGTTTAATAAAAACTGAGGCCAGGCCTCACTCTTAAAAAAAAAAAAAGAAAAAAAAACATTAATCATAATAATCTAATATATTTGTTAAATAATTAATTAACTAACAAAATTAGCATTAGTGGCAAAATGCTTTTTGGTAAAAAAAAAATTAGTATTGTAGGTTGACAATATAGTATCATATATTAATCTTGTTATTAATAATAAATCCAACTATCAATTGTTATATTATTGATAAATCTAATATATCATAAAATTTATATAATAAATTCACATTATTAAATCTGGTTTCAAATGTTTAATTTTTAATATCCTAATTATAAATAGAGTTTGGAACCAGAATTAATAATACAAATTTATCATACAAATTTATAATATATTAGCATTAGAATTTATTAAGAACTTATTAAATTTGGATTCATTATTGTAATAATTATGATGATAAATTTGTATTAATAAATCCAATTCTAATCTTGATTTATTATTATAAAATTACTATATTTTTAATTTATAAGTTTATTATTTCTGGTTTATTGTCTGAAATAAAGCAAGGACTTCACAAATGAATGCATTGTCTGATAGAACAATTAATAAAATTTGAGAGATGATGAATCTCATGATCTTTAGTCAATAAATATAAAGAACTTTTGAACTTAATAAATTCAAGAGAATAAAATATATGTGTATTGTAAAGTAAAGAGAGGTATTCTGACAGATAACATATTATTGAAGTTAAACCTTGGTTATCAACTGGAATCCAATGATTCTTATACTACTTGATTTATCTCATCAAGATGAATCGAATAATATAAAAAACACCTGATTCTGACTAATAGATTGTACAAAACTCTGGAGTGAATGATACATATCATAGTAGATGATTGTCATAATATATATGCATATATACTAATAATTATTTCAATTTATATTAATATTTAATATATTAATTTATTGATCTGTCACTTTACCCTCCCAACCATTAAAGTTACTTTGCACTAACAAAAGATAGATAAATACAAGCCAATATCTTTTTTTATTTGATTGTATAATTTAATAAATAAATAATTATGTTATATTGAAATAAAATTTATAATTAGTAGTATTTTAATAAAGTTTTATTAAAGCAAATATTAATAAATTTTAATTTTATCAGAATACCTTTCTCTACTTTATGATTTTTTAGTAGATCTATTAATTCAAATTTATGATATAAGTTATTATTAAGTTGAGTTTTTATTATAATCTCTATGTATTTTCTTATTTTATAAACTAAATTACTTCTTTGACTGTTCATCAAATCTTAAATATGAAATTCTGTAACACTTGAACTTTTAGTTCTAATTCTATACAGATTGAACATAACAAATATTTTAACATTGAAATATAATATTTGGTTGCATTTATATACTATATGAGTTGTTATCAGATTTACTAAGAGACCTATATAATTGTATGTATTGATTTTATTAAAGAATAATCAGAATTTATGATATTAATATTTATTTGAGTCTTTCATAAATTGATTAATCATTGATAATTTTCTTTGCTGTCTGTTATGCTAGTATGAAGATTTAAAGTGTGAAATTTCATTTTATTCACTATAGCACAAAAACTAATCAAATTTGTCTGTTAATAATTGTTATTAAATAAAACTATTAGATTCTTACATTGCATCTTGATCATTTTTACTATAAAAAACTCATAATATTTATACCTTTCCATAACCAGCTTCATCACAAATTAATACAGATATATTCTCAAAACAAAATCAAAATCATCTTCAAAGATTATCAACTAATAAAGCATAACAGGTTCAGCATAATGTGGATAGTTAATTTTATGATGAGTTTTATATAATATACTTTCCAATCTTCATAACAATAAGCCCATTGGATTCCATTTTCCTAGTAGAGATCAGAGACACCAACAAAGTTCTACAGAGGATGAACACCTTTTCATATCAGGAAATCAAAGTTGTTTAAAATATTTCTATAACAATAAACACTTTTAATTATATAACAGGATAGAATATTTTAACTTTGAATTTCACTTTATTTTTTTGTTTGATAAAATTCAGAATTTATTGATACATATTAAAATCAGTAATCAAAATTTTGACATTGTCAGAATTTGATATTGTCAGGACCTTGGTAATGTCAGGATTTTGACCTGTCAGGATCCTGGTAATGTCAGGATTTTGGCATTGTCGGGAGTTCAACATTGTCAGGATCTTGGTAATGTCTAGATTTTGGCATTGTCAGGATTTTAGGTGTCGGGATCAATATAAATGATGTCAGGATTTTGGTACTGTCAGGATTTGGTGCTGTTGGGATTTTGGAAATGACGGGATTTTGTGGTTGGGATTTTGGGTGTTGGGATTTTAGTACTGTCGGGATTCTGGGGTCGGGATTTTGGGTGTCAGGATTTTGGGTGTCAGGATTCTGGGGTAAGACCAGGTAATTTTCATGTAGCTTGTAATACTATGTCAGATAATTAATTTTTTTTAAAAAAGTTCTTCTCAAAAAATATTATATTTATTGTTTATTTTTGTGAACTTCATAAAGGTTTTCTAGTTATAAGTCCAAACGAATCTATTCAAGGTCAAATAGAAAATAAACCTACTACTTTTTTCACATTTTCAACATGGCTTGGTAGATGAAGTTTCAATACAAATTTTCGAATATGTAGAATCTCCTTTGAATTTAATGTTAACATGTAGACATTGGTATAAAATTTCAATCGATCAACAAGCAAGGGCAAAATGGATTATTTATAAATATGGGCATGCTTTTTTATGCGATCAAATTTGGTCAAATTTTATCAATCTAGCTGTTGCTAAGGCTAAAATCGCTAGCAAAGCTATAATATCCAGGTGTTTTGTTCAACGGCTTCTTTTACATTTAGGAAAAAAATTAGATAAGGATCTTGTTGCATTAATAATGGAATACTATAACAATTCTGGACGTCCGAATATTAATTCATTTCAACAAAATGTACCTTGGGCCTATGACTGTTTTTTTATATATTTTGAGGGTGGCTGCAGAACAATTTGGTGAATTACGACTTCCACTGAAGGGAAATGACATGGAATTGTTTCACTTTTTATCCGCTGGTCCATATGCTCTTAAAGAAGCTAAAGCCATTATGATGAAGAATTTGGATCAGGTCAAGGATTTAATATTGTACCAAAAATTTATTCCTTTCCCTCCACGACAAAGAAGCAAAAATACACAAATTAAAACTGAAGAATACCCGACAAAGGATGGTTATGAAAATAATAGGCAGCTTAATGTAATTTCCAGATTTGATGTCCGAATGGCTGATGGATTGGTCATGCAAGGTGCTATTATTATGCTTTTTTCTCCAGCAACTACAACTAACTGGGACCACCAATCCCGAAGAAGTATTTAAACGACTTTCGGAATTGATAAAGTTTGGATTTGAATTGGATTATACAGTTATTGTATAAATATTAGTGATTGAAAGACAATTGGTTGAGATTGGAATTGATGATTGAAAAACAATTGGCTGAGACTGGAAATACAATGATAAAGTCATTTTTACAAATACTGGGTAGAATTTTTACATAAATATTTAATTTAATTATATCGAACGTTTCTATTGGGCTGAAGGTTAAAAAAGACTGATGTTCTAGATTTCCTGTATTCATTGATTGACAAAGATCATGAAAAACTATTTTTAAAACCATGAACATTGATCTTGAAAATGGATCGGATGATAATAATAACAGTCTACTTTCACCTTTAAAATTCCCGGAATTTTATTATTGCTGGATATTAAGTAAATTTGGAGCAGATGCAAAATTACTGATTTGCGTTTTAAAGACATTTTGACGAAAAGAGTTAATATTGATGTTTTCGTTCAATAATGTCATCAACGAAATTATGTTTTAAGTGAACAACTTGAAAATAATTAAATGATTCGCTTAAAACTTTTAATATTATAAACTTCTTTAAACCATCGCACTTGAAAATTATCAAACAAGTTACTCATGTCGATATATTTGATGGATTAAGACAATATTTGACTAAATTATTTATGCAATAATTGCAAGTTTCTGCCAACTGTTCAGACGACATTAACATTGACAATATTTCAACATTTACTCAAAAACGAAAGCGGTATGATCTAGAGTTGAATGATTGATATAATGAAATAATAAAATTACATGTTGACTTAAATAGCTCTTCAATGTCGGGTGAATTCAGTGAATTTTTTAAAGAACATTTTTTGACTAATTAATGGCTTAAATCGTGATGTGTACGAAATTGATCATTAGAGAGAATCCAAAAGGCACAAGAGAAAAAAATAAGTAAAAAAATAAGTAGCGTTATATCACTTCAATGCAAATTGAATAAAAACTTTGAATAATATATTCAGGCTTTGATTTGGAGTCATCATTCATAGGTATGACAAATTCTACAGATACTGTAGCAGTCAAGGATTAGGACTTGTGTATGAAGTAAATGTTATAAATTAGTATTGGAGTCGTTGGCAGAATGGAATTCATAAATATTTGAAGTAATATTTATAGTGTGAGCCCGATTTTCGGGGTCACAGGTGACCGAATCGAAGCGACGATCCTGGCCCGATCCAAGGTCAAACGGACGTGACGGAAATGTCACTTATGTTACTTACGTCGCTTCTACGACTTCTTTTACATATGAGTTAAACGAAATATTAGTGTTTTATTAGACTTAGTTAGGATATAGAATATAAGAAATCTAATGCGTTT